GATATTATATATAATTTTTTCCCTCGTATTTTGTTTGTTTTGACTTATTGGGGGTTCCATTTTCAAAAACTTACTTTCTGGATTTTTTCTTCTTCTTTAAGATTTTACTCTTTTTTTTGCTTTTTACATCTTTCTGTTTTTCACTTCTTACCGATTCGGATGACGAGCATTTCTTTAGGCTTTTCAGTTTCTTGACTTTCTTATCCTTTCGTTTCTTGTATTCAGCATGATCTGCTTTGGGTGGAGTAACATCTCCTTTGATTAGGCTATCGTATTTAGAAGCCTTATTACTACTCGAAATGTTTTCATCGAATTTTCGAAAGGGGTTGTCCGGTCGACAGGGTCTAGAAATCAGGGTCGTAACTGCGGAAACTAATCGTGTTTCTCCCAATTTAGGACTTTTACGAGAGCTGCGATCCGAATCGTATTTCCTTTGCCGATCATTTCGTTCACTTCGATCATTTCGTTCACTTCGATCACTTCGATCATTTCGATCATTTCGATCACTTCGATCACTTCGATCATTTCGTTCACTTCGATCACTTCGATCATTTCGCTCACTTCGATCATTTCGGTCACTTCGACTATCTTTTTCCGACGGCTTGTCCTTCAATTGGGATCTATGCTTGTGAGAGTCCTTGTAATGGGAATCCTTGTGTGTAGTATTTACATGTGATTCACGATCATTCGACCGATCCCGATTTCTATGCTCGTCAAATCTACGCTCTGATGTAGTTCGCTCTCTGGAGTCCTTTTCTCTTTTCCTAGAGCTATAGCTTGTCGAACTATATTTATGTCGATCATCACTCGAATTCTTCACCGGACTCTCTCGACGACTGGTCCTCGATCGTTCCGACGAACAATGTCGTTCACTGACAACTTTGTTTCCTAAACGTTCCTTTACTGATTTATTAGTCGACTTGGGGGAATGCGAGCGATCTCTCTGATTACTTTTAACGGATACCGAGGGTTCCTTACTGCTATGCTTAGAGTCTATAAGAACTTTAAACTCGACTGGCCTAATAGCGTTAATAGCCTTGGCAAAAATTGCATTCTCTGCCTTGCGAATGACATCGGATGTTATTTCTGAATGTTCTTGCATCTTGCTGGAGCCATTCTTTTTAGAGGAATCTGCTGGGTTGCTGCCCAAATTATTATCGTCCATTTCCCATTTTGATACTTGGATATCATTAGGTTCACTCACTATATTCGATAGACTTTCTCTATTTAAATCCGGATCCGTAACCTCCATGCTCAAATCAGTTTCCTTTTTATTTATCTCATGCGGATCATTACAATCGGATAGCTTTTGAGTATGATTATTTGAATAGTTTTCAATGCTCTCGTCGCACACATCCATTGCGCTTGGATTGATCTCAGAGGCTTTCTCTGGTATCGGTTCTATGCTCCCTGAGCGACTCTTCTTGCTCTTATCCTTCTTGTCGCGCTTCTCCTTCTTGTTTTTCTTCCGCTCTGACTTATCTTTCTTCTTCTTTTTTCGATCTTTCAGCTGAAGATTAAGTTTAAGACTGTTCTCTTTTCCCATATCGCTCTTCGACTCCAAATGCTCCAGCAACTTGACAGTATCCCTACCGTTCTCTGGACTCAGCATTCGGCTACTTGAGCGTTTCTCAGATCTCTTTATGCTTTGCTCTCTGCGATCGGGAGTTTTCGGGGACCCTTCGTACGTCTCGGCACCCTCAGTTCTAGCTATCTTCGGAGCCTTTGACTTGGTCGGTGGCGTTAAACTTCTGGAACAGTTCTCAACTGCTTTAATATCTACACTCCTACTATAATGCCTCTGCCTCTTCAATGAAGTATTATGCTCATTAAGATTTCTATCGACATCTTGTTCTTCTTTCTTATTATTTATGTTTATTTCATTATCATTTAAACTCTCTATTTGTAAGGATTCAAAGCCAGGAGGCGGCGGCTCAACTGTATCTAGTTTTATTGGATACTGCTTAGGCAATGACTTTTCCCGGGTCCGGGGCCTATAACTGGACTTGGGTGAAGGCGAACGCCGATGCACATACCTAAAAAATAAATAAAATCAATTTAAATAAAATTTTAAAATAATCAACAAAATATAATTACAAATATATTTAGAGTATTCCATTTTATTTGTTTTTATACAAATACTGAGAAAAATGGAAAATTGAAATAATTTGCCTTATAAACTCCTCCTTTGCTATAAGAAATACTAGGTTTACCTTGTATGCCGTTAATTTTTAATACGAAAATGCTGTAAAAATAAAACTTAGTGTTTTTAACCATAATGGACAACTATTATTTAAGATATGAAAAATCAACAAGTAGATTAACTGAACCTGAAAATTACAAACCATTATGCAGTAGCTGGAGTAGTTGGATTGGTCTATTAGCTCCTAGCATATGCTGATAATAATATAAGAGTTTAATTAATTAAAAATTATTTTATCCCAAAAAGAACATCTGGCTGGTGTCGCTTTAAATGATTAATTATTATAAATTAAAGTTATGATGAAAAACTGAATATAGATGGAGAAGGGTGGGAGAGATTTTCGGTAACACCGTAATCATATTCAATATGAAAAAAAACTGCAACGCTGTAAAAGGTCAAGAATATAAGTCTGAATGATTTGAATTTTTAACATAAAAGCGAGAAATTTGGTTAGTGTAGCAGAAATAGGGTAAAAATAATATTTTTAAATAAAAATTAGAGATTACACAAATAATCATAATTAAATGCTGATCAATTGGAAAAAAGTAAAGAGACCCAATAAACATATGTAGTAAAAAAAATCAACCGTGTGAAAACGCTCTTTAGATATAATCAATACTTGACGATAGTTTGAAAAAAAAAATATTATTCAAATGGAATGTCTTATTCAAGAGAAACGCGTAGTATCCACTAAAAAAAAAAAGTATATTCGATCAGAACTTATATATATTTTGGTATTTGTATAAAATTTAATAAAAAAAAATCTTCTGTGATATATATACTATTTCTCAATTCAATTTTATTAATTTAAGAAAAAAAAAAAGTAAAGTAACGAAATAATAAGATTATATTCAATGATAATATAATAGGTTTCAAAAAAAAATGAGCAGTTAAAGGAAATCGTCAGTACTTACTTCATAAATTAAAACAAACAAAAAAAAAACAAGAGCAACAAACTTATAAAAATTCATAATATTATGGGCTTTGGAATATACCAGCAAAAATAAGTAATTAAATTAAATGTGGAACCAGAATTCAGTAGAGTATTTAGTTAAAAAAAAAATAAGTGCCCATTGAATCCAGCAATAAAGTCTGATTCGCACTGGGGCAGACAAAAAAAAAATATCGAAATCATAATCAATTTAATAATGAAAAAAATTGTGTGTAACATATAAAAAAAAAACTTGCTGGCTGTTCCACATTTGTACAGTAAAAGAACTATTTGACTCTATTCAAAAAAAAATTTTAATAATTAAATAAACAAATTTTTTGCAAAATAAAATTGAATTTAAAATAAAAAAAAATTTTTAAAAATTTGTTTTCTTTTTAAATAAAATAAAATAAATAATAATAATAATTGAAATTGAAATGAAGAATTGCCAATTAATTAATTAGATATATCAATTATAATTAAGATACTTTATGTCAATCTCAGAATTTATTAGTGCTGCATGTTTATCTCTAGCAAATGCTCAGATCGACACAATTAGGGACAAAACATATGCAGGAGGTGGATCAAGTATAGAGAGCGTCTTTCTGGCCCCAAGAATCCCAACTACATGAGCTAAAAGCTATTATATCGAGCCACTGCCTGCTTGAAAACGATCAGGCAGAATTGGTAGGGAAAGCTTTAGTTTAGTATTCATCATCATCAAGATCATTAATAATATCGTTATATTTAAGTAAAGTATATGTGTTCTTAATTATTCAACAATCCTGGGCATCGCTAACACAGATCGAAATAACTGTAATTGTGGAATCTGAATAAATAACAATGAAACAAAGAGTCTACACATGCACATATTAAAAATAAAAATTACTTGCGCAATAAATGAAGCAAAATTATTTCTAAAAAAAAAAAAAAAAAAAAAAAAAAAAAAAAAAAAAAAAAAAAAAGAATCTACAGCAACAGCGCATTGATTAGAGATTTTTGTGGCCTTGAAACGCTTTTAGATTTCATTCGTTTCGTTTAAATAAACAGACAGACATTCAGACAGTCGGACAGTTCTTATTTAAATGAGTTAAAAATAACTATTTTATTTGTTAATAAAATTGTCTATATTACTGGATAAACTCGAATTGAAAAATCAACCAAGTTAAATTCAATTGAATAATCAACATTATACAAATTTTACCATTTAACAGATAAAAAAAGGTCGTTGTCAACACATCAGTAATTAGATTACGAAGTAGTTAAGTAACAGTTATTGTTTTATTTTAGAAAATAACGAACCGTATATTAATAAGCGTATTTTTCATCTGGCTTAAGATGAGCACGAATCGAATCAGCTAATTGGCTAATATCAATCAGTTAATATGATTTTTAAAACCATATTCTCATTTCGAAATGGCAGTATCAGTATTTTATAAATATGTATAAATTATAGAAGAACCCTTAATTTAATAAATAACCTCTTCTTCTTGTCGCTTGGCGAATTCGATCCGTTGCTCGAATGACGTCCCACACGACTCTGTCGTCTCTCATAGCTGTATTCGCGCTTTCTCTCCCGCGAACGTGCTCGCTTCTCATTGCTGATCATCTCCCGCGACGAGCCTCGATCATACACCGGTGATTTGAAGCGATGTCGCAGTCTGCCTGGCGATCGAGATCGGTGATGGCCTGGACTGCGGCGACGATCTACTTTCAGCTTTTCTTTTTCCTTCATTATTCGGTTAAAAGCTTCCAGTGGATCATCAATAAGTCTGCAAAATATATATGTACATATTATTTATAAGGCAATTGGTGGGTAAATTATAATTTATCACTATATGGAATATGAAAGAATGATATATGAGGAGAGGAGGCAATATGGGTTCAAGTCTCCCATTACAGAGAAGTGAATAACTTATGATTAATAGATAATTTAAAATGTTAGGAAACATTTAACTTACCCAGTGCCAACTTTAGCCGCGACTCCTTGATAAATAGAGGCCAAATTAGATGACTGAAATGTTTGCGACGGATTGATATTGATATTGCCAGGTGGAATATATGATGGATTCATAGGATGCACAGGCTGGCTTTGATAATGTGGAAAGCTGTAAAAAAATAGAAGTTCGCAATATTATTCAAAAATATTAAATTACTAATATTTATAATTCAATTTAATAATATACATCACAATGTTGTACTTTTAATGAGTTTTTATATTTGAGCTTTTAGTTTAAAAATTATGATAATTGATCATTCTAATCGCCTTTAAATTTTATGATATGAAATAGGAGTTTTAGATTTTAGGTTAAGGACAAGTTTTGATGACACATGGTTTATTAATTAAATCAATCAGCACATATTCATTAATTCTGTTAAACGACTCATATAAAACTATACTTTAAAATAATTTGTACTATTTAAGTTTTTAATTATCCGATAATATTTACATAATTCATCAATTATCTTAAACATATATCTATATTATCTAATGAAATAAGACATTTTTAAAAAATTTTCTCTATGATTTAATGTTTGTTGTTAAGTTTTCTGCTGTCTCAACAGTTATTTTTATTATAGACATGTTTTCTTCACTTTGTTTATTAAATATAAAAAAGATACACAATGAAATGCGCTTGCTGCTTGCAAGTCTTCCTTTTAATAAGAGAATCATTCGTCATTGTCACCTTAACAACTGCAGGTTGCATGTTGCAAATTGCATGTCGTGGATACTAGAGCTCGCTATGAATCAAACAAGTTATGAAGTTATATCGATAATGCTTACAACAGCTTTGAGATATTAATCACCTGAAGGAAAAAGTAAATCTTTAAAGAGTTAATATACAAGCAGACAGACAGTTGGACGGTCGACCCTTAATGTAATTTATAATTTATAGATAATTTATGAGGTCAGCTTCTATGATATATGAATAGTGGCATATATATGATAGTTAATGCCATCCATCATACAGCTAAAGCTTTGGTATTTAGTGAAAGGCAGAAATGATTAGTTAACTTACCTCATTGGTGGCCTATGTTGCATATTATTATAGCCATTGTTGTATGGAGGCATGTGTATGATTGTGGGGCATCGGGGCATTTGTTGAATGTACGGTGGCTTATAATGCCCCATGCGATGACCTTGATCGGCATTGACTACAGGCTTATCCCTTTGATCATTGATGTTCATGTTCGCATATTTATGATGAGTCCCAATCGGAGTTGGCAACAGACTTCGTTCATTTTGAGGCTTGACGTTATCATTTTTAGCATATGGAACTTGTTTCATTTCAATATCCGATTTATATTCATAGTTGCCGTCCCTCCGCTGAATTGCATTGTTGCTAGCTGGTATTTGCTGATACGAAGGTTGCACCTAAAAAGATAAAGAACATAAGTAAGTAAGTAAATGTTTAACACTTTATATATACAAGGTTTACATATGGTATTAGAAATAGTTAGATTTCTTAATTGACTGTCTATAAGACCATATAGATATAATTTGCTCACCTGCTCTTTATTGTTATCAGCACTGACGAAATTAGTATCAATTTCCTTGTGTGGCATTTTTATTGTTATATTATCCTCATAGTCCGAGTCTGATTTATCTTTCTCTTTCTTAGTTGCTTCCGTAATTGAGACAGCAGCTTTGTCAGCACTGGCTTCTTCTGTATTATTAGCTGGAGGCACATTGCTTTGTTCCACTTGCTCCGCGTGATTATTCGAGTCCTCGGGTTCCCGAGTAACACTTTCTTTTTTCTCAGTAGTCGTACTACTCGGTTTAGTAACTGAAAATTAGTATTAAAGATATATTAAGTATACATTAATGATTTGAGAAATTTTTAAATTTAATATATTTTATAATCATTCCATATCCTACCAGGTTTAAATGCTTTGTTTCCAGTTTCGTTTTTATAAACATTGACAGAATTCCTCAAGAAACGGTTTGGAATCAATGATCCTGGAGAACAGTTCTTTTCCTTACAGTCTGGACATTCGCTATCCTCCGATTCTAGCAGTGAGTTTCGAACGCCTGAAATTATACAGCAAATTAAAAGAATATTTATTTAGGTTTGTTTTCCAAATAAAAGGATATATAGAATTTTAAAATGTAATTTATTAAACAATATAATGCCTTAGAATATTGTCATTATTTTATACTTACAATCATCGCAAAAGGAACTGCCACAACATGGTATCATTACGGCATCAACAAAAATATTCCGGCAAATGCCACAAATTAAATCTTCCGGAATCTCTTGTTCTTTCTCATTAGATGCTACAAAATTAGATGTTTCTGGTTCTGTTGTTCTGTAAATAAAAAAAAGAACAAAGTTTTAATAATTAAAAAATAAATATAAAATCTAGTTTTCTAATGGGTGATGTAAACAGTATCATTTTATAATTTAAAATTAATAACAGCTCATTCTGTAACTTTGAATATTACTTACATCTCTGGTTTGCCTCTAAATGATCGGGGAATTCCTGTATTTCTCTTGACTTCAAATTGCTCTTTTCCAGATGCAAAGGAACAGTTTTTAATCCAGTGTCCACCCCTTTTACATTTATTGCATCTATAGGAAGCAGGAACTTCCCCAATTTGAGACTGTCCCTTAATTCTGTGATACCTATATAAATAAATACAAATTTAATTAAAATACAGTATCTTACACAGACTTTAAATGCTGAGCGAAATGAAATTTCGAAAAGGAAAGCACTACTTTCAATGCTTAATTGCTAAAGTAATAATTAAGAAAATAATACTTTGATATTTATTCTTTCCCTAAAATACTCACGTTTTCGGATCATAATCTGCTGTGCTCTGCATCATCATAGCTTGTATTTTCTCTTCTTCACTTCCTTGCATTTTAAATAGATCCATATTAAGGCTTTCTGGCTTGCTTGAGGACACATTGGGGATAGCATTGTCAGGTGGTGGATCCCAGCCTTTTTTAACGGGATGCGCTATCGGTATTCGCGCAACAATTAGCGTAGTATTTTTTGGTATTAAAAAATTGTCATCCTTATATTCTATAAAAACAAAATATTAATATCCGAATATACAATCCAGTGTTAATTTAGATTTACCTTCTTTAGTTTGGGCATTGGTAATTTGCAAATCAAAATCTATGATTTTACCAAGTCGTTTCTGCAGTATAATTTCCCGTTTCAAATCAGCAACCGAAATGTGAAGTCCATCAAATGTTATTGTATCAAAGTTAAGGGTACTTTTAAATTTATAATGTACCGACATTTTTTTAATTCTAAAAGAAAATATATATGAAAATATTATGATATTGTTTAAGCATTTCAACTAAAAGTTTACCAAAATTTATATATTACAAGTCATTACCGCCGGTACTTAATACAATCGAATCGATTTAGCTATATGTCTCTATCCAATCCCTATGAAAATTTTAAATATGTACTCTATAATCTAATAATCATTTACTTTGGGAGCAGTATTATCATATTTCCTTTAACAAACTTTAACTTCAGGGGGCGTATTACCATAAATAAAAAAAAAACATATCTTTGGATCGTGTCATATTTATAAGAACTGGCAAATATACTGATGACTAGTACACATTTGTGACGACTAAAATATTGGATCTATAGACATACACAAGAATTCTAGACTCTATCATGGTACCGATGTGCGCGCCAGAATGGGAAAATGGTAAAACAAAATGGCACAGTTATGCAAACCATATAAACACGGCATTGAGTATCCTTTGAAGAAATATCCTCCATAATCTTACCTATGCCGTGAACAATTTAGATTTGATTTAATTGATGTTGAAATAACAAAATATAGAAATGCCAACTTTTACGTATATCGCACATTAAATATTATATGAGCACAACTTAGCATTTATGTATATGTTTGCAATAATGAAATCCGCCAAAAAAAAACATACGTATTGACGGCGGCGTGCATTCAATAATTATTTTGGTACACTTTTAAGTAATACACGCACACACACACATTCATATGTACGTGAGTACATGTGTGTATGTGTCCCAGCATGGATGTTAGGTGTGCAGAAATTGCACACATGCGGTATTAATAAATTATTTTCACACTTACATTTATTCACTCACAAGTCAATAGCATTCAACAATAAGCTTTTTAATTTCTTTTAAATTAAGTGATAAGATAAAATTAAATTATCATTTTGATTTTGTCACAACAAACCGAACTAGTTAGTTAAAATGGAACGAGTTTGTTTTCACAGTGTTGATTCGTCTTATGTTTCCACTAACTGCGTTTAGTGTCTGACTTATCGATAGGCAACAAAATTTATTTGACATATTTAAATTACTTATCAAAATGGAAATAGCTGTATATACTTTTTGTATTTCGTAACATATGTATATATACATATATTTTTTTTTTTTATTATAATTTTTTTATTTTAATAATTTAGTTTATCATATAATTTTTTTGACCATTGTTACTATTTCTTATTATAAAGTATTCGATAAATGTTTTAATTGAAAAAATTCCTTGGCAATAAAGAATAAAAAATTAATTGTAAATTGACAAAAAATTATTGCATATGTTGGGGACCTATTTTCGGATATCGATAACTTTCTTTGTATTTCTATTCGTACGAAGAGAATACTTGCGAGAATTAAAATGAACTATATAAAATTTATCGATAAATTTAGCATGAAAAACGTTGGCTATGGAGAAACGATATATTTATATAAGGAATATACTTACATGTTTAAAAAAATTACTTTAGATATCCGACCGCCTTATTTAATAAGTAAAATGATTTACTAGTAGTCGCTAGACTTTTTCAGATTTATTTATTTAACTTGCACACATATAAAATTACATTAAACATTTGAAATATGAAATATAAACCAAGACTCAATCCCGGATATATATATTTAAATGGATTAGTCATTCAAACGTGAGTCAAAGTCAACTGTGAGTACCTTACTATTATTATTAACCATGCTTTTGTTGAGCTCCACTAATCGTGGCTTTTCCTGTGAGGCAGCTGCAGCTGCTTGGTTCTTGGGTCCAACCATGAAGTATGTTCGAACCCGCGGCTTCTCGTGTTTTATCGACCTGTCGAGAAACTTGCTGCTGCCCAGCGTCCTGTTGTTGCTGTTGGCATTCATGGAGGTGGGCTTTGCTTTAATTTGCCACTTCGTTATATTCGGCCGAAGACTGGCCGGTATCATGTGAGACTTAAGCTCCACTTCCTTTGTATTAAATATCTCACAGTCGACTTGCATCATCATAATGTCGCCATTCGGCGACGGTTCACCAGTTGGTAACAACAACGACATTTTGGGGCGAGAACTCTTGTTGTATGTGGAAGGCGATAGAAGTATGTGATCTGTATTCAATGAAAGAACATAAAATGTATCCTCTTGTCGTTTGATTGCCTTGAATAGATGAATCGGTTCGCTTGTGTTAAGAGTGTTTTTGCTGCTTAAATCAATTTTCCGTTGCTTTTGTTCAATATCCGGTATCGTTTCCTTAAAGCCCAAAAAGCTTTTACGTTTGCCAAGTGTCGCAGTCTCTCTTGCCATATCGGGTAATTCCAAATAGTCTGTCGAAAACTTAAAGCCATGTGCGTTATCCCGGTCAATGTTATATTTTGAATTCATGCCCAATTTGTGATATCCACTCGTATTAATCAGTTTTTCCAAATTTAATGCCAACCGCGAGTACTCCGACTGGTTGACACTAGAGTTAGCACAAGAACCATTACATTTAGCTGAGGAAGGGTAGGTCAAGGGTGGCGGATCATTTGCTCTATTAAACCGAGACGGCTGTGTGGCATTCCAATGGTCGTTTTTCGTAACATTGGGGCCACGACTAATCGGCCGTAGAAAGTGTAATGGTGGAGGAGCTATTGCCTCAGCTGGACGATTGCTTTGGTTCAGCTTTTCGTTGTACTCCTCTTCCGTATCGACCCAAAGCAGACGACGGCCTATCGGAACGGGCTCGTTCACAACATTCGAGTCGCTCGTGACGGCGGCTGTATTTTCTGCCTCCAGATTCTGTTTGCTTAGATATGATTGAAAGTTTCCGGCATTCAATGTGACCATGAAAGCCATCGCAAACAGCACGGCGATATTTTTCTTAACCGTCGCAGCATTCATATGCTGTTTAAAGCTTTTGGTAGTTGGCCTCGGAGCGATCTTAACGTGTTGATCAGTTCGCGCATTGGAGTTCAACGAATGCAATACAAATTCACATACACTACCTTTGCGGCACTTGCATGTTTTGGCTAAAGCAACAAGCTGGTTGCGTAACGACAAGTTTTCCTGTAAGAAAAGATATTGGTTAAGTTCTGTAAGTAATATACAGAGAGAGGGAGAGAGCTTACCCCCTTAAGTGTACTATTTTCCTTCTCCAGATTATGCAAACGCGTTTCCAATGAGACGACATACTCCTTCTTCTTCTTGCGCGACATTGACGCCGATTGCCGATTTTTAATCATTCGCTGCTGTTTCTTGAACATCTTCTCGTCTATTGTGTTTCTGAAATGGAAATTCGATGATTCCGACTCCATGGAGATTTCCCGTTTTAAATTGGAGTGTGGAAGTTGACTCTGATTCTTGACAATGTTGGACGGGCTCTGTGTGAGAGTTGGACATGTGGAGGCGTCAACATTTTGATGGCCTTTTATTTTAGGATTTCCTGTCTTCATTACGATCTTTGGAATATGTGTTTTGACACTGCCATTGATCTTTGCGCCCTTAGAGCCATTCAAGTTAATCTTATCCATGAGCGCCTTGTAGTCATTTGTGGAGAGGAATATGGTTTTGGTTTTTCCGACGTTCTCCGTTGCTGCCTCAGCTATAATCTTTTCTCGAGTCGGCTTCTGAGACTTGGCAGGGAGGCTCGCATTCACATTGACAGGAATGAGCCCTGTGACGATTGGTGCACTTTTCACCTCCAAAGTGGTTTGCAAAACCACCGCCGAGTTGTTGACGGACTTGCCAATAATCTCCTGATTATTGACAACTGATGCTGCAAATTGTGGCTTTTGCAAACTCTTTTGAATACTGTCTTCATTTCGATTGGTAAAGCTTTGCGCAAATGGTACTGGAAACTGCGACACATTAAATGAGGCAGGCGCCATATGACTTTGTTCTTGTTGCCTGTTCTGCCACGCATCGGAGGTGTCGCTGTGGACGCCACTTGTTGAACTGCCACTAAAGCTGCCACAGCTGTCCGTTGGCGAAGGAGTATCGCGATCTTGAATGTGCTCCAACAGATTGCCGCTCGTTAATTTCTCAATTTCTGCATTATCTTCACAGATATTGATCAAATTGCTGGAAGCATCTATTGAGGATCCCAACGATGTTCGGTCGACATTCCAACTCTGTGTTGTTGTYGTCGATAGGTTGTCGAAGTTAAGCTCCAAATCATTATGGCTATCTGTTGTCGACTGAAACAAATCGGAGAACAGATTATCGTTGTTCAGTGAAGTGCCACGATCTTGCGGCAGGAAGGTATTAAGGTCCAAAGAAGAATCCAGGTGCGAGACAGTTGAGCTTATAATATCGTCAAAATCATGATGATTTATGTCATAGCCACTTGGAGATGACATAAAGGACGACAGTTCGTCTAAAATAAAATAATTGTATTAAATGAATTAGAAAAATCCATAAATACATAAAAATGTTTATAAATGGTTTATTTTGAATTTTTAATGAAAATTATATAGAGCCAAGTCTTAACACATACTTATATGTATGTATGTATTTCTACGTGAACTTAATTTGTGTACTTAGGGTATACATACTTATACCCACAAAACAGTAATGTAGTCTTATTTAACTACGCCCACTGGCTCATGGCAAATCAAGAAAATCGATATTTGTGTGCCAATAATTTTGCCGGGTTTTTTCATGCTCTAATTGGATTTATAAAAATATTTCAAATTGCTATTCAGCTTCCCATAGAACGCAAATTAGATGTGTGTCGATATTTTTGTTTATCAATCAAAATGCAATTCCTGCACATATACATATGTATAAATATGTAGGTAACTGTAATTAATGTATATTCATGTATATGCATGCATGTGCATTTGTAGGCGTGTATTTCATGATACGTAGTAGTATTTGTCATCACGTTTACACACGTTGCGATCGGATTCGACCAAGGTTTTACAATGTTATCACCTTTTTAATGTTATCTTTAATTCCACGTTATCAATAAAAGTAAACTCAATGAACTGACACACAAAACAAAAAAAAAAAAAACTTTTAAAGCAAGCGGCATATTAATGTAAAACAATACCATTATTTAATGCACATTTGGTCCATTTATTTAATGCATTGATTCATGTCTCCCACGCTAGCCTGCTTAAATACGATTTTGTATTTATTACAGGTGAATGGTGTCAGTGTGTAGCATTTCATTGAACGCTGTTTTATCAAACACTGACGAAAACTTACCATAAAAACTGTCGTCCACGTCCATTTCATTTACAATTGTTTAGAATTGTTATTAATAAAACTTTCTGTTTTTATACATTCTCATATTAAACCGAAAACCGTATTCCTTATGGAATATTCAAGCAATTTGTTGACGAAAGCAAAATGGGATTGCTGATGACACTATAGCTGTAAAAATATCATATAGAAATAATCGATGCTATCGATGGCTGCGTTTACCGATACCAATTCATCAGGAGTTGCGTTCATTTCCATTTGATGCGTCGTTTAACGATAGTCAGACATTTTCATATATTAATCGATTTCAGATGGCTAAATCATATAAAAATAAAACCTATTAAGAAATGCATAATTATTTAATTATTTTATGGACTGCTACTAAAAGTCCAATTCTGGTAGCATTGATTTTTTTTTTTTGTTTTTTTTTTTTGTTTTACAATTTTCTTTGCTATATCACTAAAAAATTCTACTCACTTGGCTTTCAGAATTCTAATCTATTGTTATTTTCAGATGATCCAATAAAAAGAATGACAGGCGCATAAAAAAAGGATTCGGAGTTCCCCTTCCTCAGAAAATGATGGATACGTACATAATTCAACACAATATTTGTCAAATATATACATTTTTTATTGATTTTAATAAAATCAAATTAAATGTTTTTTTATTGCTTCCCAACCCTTTTAACAGTTTTAGAAAAAATAATACAATTTTCATAACAACATAACCATAATTATTTGAACATAATTAATGAATTATTTTCGTGACACGTTATATTAAGGATAGAAGATTAATTAATTCTGAGTCAAACTTAAAAAAATAATTTTTAGTATTCAATTCATAGATACTGAACATTTTCATAGTATTCAAAATAAACTTGACCTTTCTGAAGAAATTTGTGTAAAAGAACTAATGTAAGCAATGTAATACAGACTTACAGTAGTATATTCAATATTAATTATAAAAAAAAGAAACTTGAAATAGACGTAGCACGCGTTGACCTTTCCGCTTCAGCTTAGACCACGAAACGATGCACATGACTTGGATTAAAGGATGGGCGGTGACCCTCGCTATTACTATTCCTAGAAATATCAATTTCAGTAGTAGGACCAGGCGTCGCTCTCGCATGGACTAAAGGAGTTTTAATTGCCCGTCGATGACCACGTTTACCCTAAGATAAAAGAATTTTCATTATTAAATGATAGCCGAAAATTGTAGCTTATATAGCTCGCTTACCTGACGAACTTTTTGGTTACGTGACTCCGCAATGAGATTATCAGAAACCTGAAACAAGCTCTCGCCCCGTGTAATCAGAACGTTCGTTAAGCGACAGCACAATGCAGCCATTTTCACTTGTTCTGCAATGCAATTCTTATCGATCGGATGTATATAGCGTGGCGGAAAAAATGATGGAGCAATTATCGTGGATACATTATGTAAATTCATCTTATTGAAATCTTTCAAATCGATAATTATGTTGAGAAAGCGTAAAATGGAACGCAGAGTGTTGCGGTTTTCGTGTGGAAGCATCTGGCATAAAATAGATAATGCACGTATTTGGTCCGCTGGGGGTAATGTGTGACATTGATAGAAAAGTTGTATAAGTTCGCTTGTCAGCAATGGCTGGGGCAGTTCGCGTAACCAACGCTTAAGCAATGCACTAAGTTCATGTACGCTTGCATTGCTAAGCAATTGTGAAAATTTTTCTGGCTTTTGATAAAAACTTGATTCTAATTCGTTGTAAATTAATTCAGTCTGCAAATATATAAAAACATTAATTAGTATTAAATAAAACCGATATTAGAATTACTTTTTGTCAGTCACCTTATGTTTTTGTCCAGCCACACGCAAAATACCCTCCTCTCGTGCCCCTCGCTTAATTAGCTCTTCCAGTAGACCCTCGAGAAATCGAGGTACTAATGTTGAGTCCATGCCAGATATTTGCTGGTCACGCCGTATAAGTGCGTTTAATGAAACTCCAAACAGGCTGCCCTCCTCCTTGCGACGTCTTTTGAATGGTTTTCGCTTGTCTAGCGAAACCTGATTGCGATCAAAGACTGTGGCTAGCTCTAGCCAAAATATTGGCTGTAAACGTTTCAGCTCCGTTTCACTTATTGTACTGATGTCGGAGGTGTGTTCTTGTAAGACGACATTATTGCTGTCTACGGTGTCAATGCCATCCTGACTAGAATTTTCTCGGCACATATTTTCAAAGCTGATGCCCTCTCTTGCTGACGGAGAGCTGCTGTGTAACTTTTGCTGAGTAGAATCCAGGTTTATTTTGTTTAGTATCTTCTCAGGTGACGACAATGCCGATGACATTGGCGCTGTACTTGGAAGAAACTCGTCGCTGGAATCACCAGATGAAGTATTGTTTTCACTCTGTGAATCCGGTATATTTTGTCCACAAACTCGTCTAAATTGTGTAAAATAATTCAATTATATATGAGAGCTTCGGCAACTCAATTAATACATACCCAATAGAACAAGATGGATCAGAACCAGAACGATTACGTGGTATGTGCAGCGTGCCAATACGCGAAAATCCAAGCAACTCTATACCTTCTGATGTATACATGGGTATATCGCAGCGCACTTGCGAGCCGCGAAACAAATCCGTGGACGTGGCGCTCTTTAGCGGAGCACTTGGAGTTCGGCGTATTTTCTGCTTTAAATGCTTGTTTACCGAAGGAAATGCGTTGGCATTATAATTTGCTGTACTGTGGTCCGAAATGCTTACAAAACTTGGACTACAAAATGTGAAATAATGAAATAAACTGAAATTCACTTGAAGAGGTATCAGAACTTACATTGAGGCATTGCCCCAAACTTCGTCACCGTGTACGGAATCTAATGAATCTGGTGTGGCACTTCGGGATCTAGTTCCCGTACTGGACTCCTGTGAATACAATCGATATTTATAATTAATTCCATTTTTGTTTAATTAATTAGTTCAATATTTACGTCAAAATCGCGAAAGACGTCACGTATGTCAGGTTTACGTTTTGATCGGTTTTTACTGCGTCCTCTGACAGTATGATTGAGCGCTCGCACGCGCTGCTTGATCGCCTCGGCATGAGGTCTTGATAGTGTGGCTAACACGGGCTCAAGATCTGTGGAACGCAGCTCAATGCCCTGGGAATAAATAGGAATTTTATAAGTAACATAATACGATTGCTGGCAGTCAACAAATTTAAAATAAACTTTTGCATTTAAAACAAAAGAAGATACTCTAGTAACAATATATTTACAAATACTACTCTTGGCTTTTCACTAACAATAATAATTTCATAAATATACAAATTGACGGGCAAACTTTATTCCCTAATATCTAAATTAAACAAGGCTGTGTTTGTTTAATTTTTAATTTTTGTTAGTATTCTTTGCTTACCTGTTCAAAGGGTCGTGTCAATTCTGGATATCCAGCTGAAATTAACCACTCTGCTTCCATTTCTCCATCTAAATAAGATATAGTATATCGGTAATATTTATATTAATATAGGTAGAATTACAAAATCGGATGTTTGCTTACCTTCGTAATGTATTTCCGGTTCGTTGCATGCTAAATTTGTGTGCAACAGATATTCATTGAGAAATTCCGTATAATCTTGATCGCATGTGTTGTCCATAGAGTTATTGTTATGATTGTTGTTCATCTTGATGGTTTATATATTTTGAAAATATGGCATACTGTTTAATTAATCACAAAGCAAGGAAAGAGCGGATCTCCGCATTACAAACTATATATATACATAAATATATATATAATTTAGCTTGCTATATCACTGCAAATATATAGAAAATATATGAGACATATAAAAACAGTCAGATAAGAAAAGAATAAAAGAATTCCCTTTCTTGCGCATACATTCTATATATCCGTTATTGATAAAAGTTTTCTGTATTTCTGAAGAGTAAAATATATTTTCTTGTTTGTTAATAAATCAAGAAATCTTATTCTTAATTCATGATTCATGATCTCTTAATAAGAAATAAATTGATCATTTTGAAAATGAGCACATACAAATATAAAATTTATAATATTTAGTTTATTTTTAGAGTCATAAAATGTATAGTTTAATGCTCCAAACATTTGTCTTAAGGAGATAATAAAAACGTTTTTATTTTATTTTTTATTACTGAACCGGATAGGATTTTGCCTATATAGATACTTTCTAGATAAACATTGAGAACAGCCTTAACTGCGTAATACACATTTTACAATGTTGTTGAGGTCTGCTTTACTCTCTTATCTTATTCTTATTATATGTACAAATATATGTATGTATATAAGTTAGTTTTAAACTATATCTTTTGAAGTGTAACTTGAAGAACTGTTTATTTTGCTCTCGAGGCGTTGTCATTTAGATTTGTTTATGTATTTTGTAAGGACCATCTAGCTAGCGACCATATGATATGGTGATCGATATGAGAGACTATATTAAACTAAGCAAGGAGACACTATATGTATATATGTATGTTTACAAAGTCGTACACTCAGAATCGTAGTAGCTCAATAAATGTGAATATATGGCGTCTATAGAAAAAACAAGCACAGCAGCTGCATAAAGTGCGCAGTAGAATACATTGAAGAGAACTACGAGAATGCTATAAACACTGGGTAGGGTACCCTACCTTGCAGACACTCCCGACTGTGAGCAGTCTTACCTGTGGCAGTATATTGTATGCTTGGCAGTGCAGGTGTGAGAATGCTAATAAGAGAACTACGAATATGTCTCCGATTTTAAACGAAAAAATTCTTATTGAGATATCTAGTAATCTAGCGCGACTTATTTTCCAAACACAGTCAGACGTTATAATAACCGTGGCTTATTCCAAAGCAAGACTAATCGAATTTATAATTCTCCGCCAACTTGTAGCTGATCGAGACAATTATCGAGTGTAATTGTTAAGTCGTAGGTAGGTAGGGTATGTGCTACGCATTTATAGTGCGGATTTGGGTTTCGATCATTTATGCAAATACCAAAGTCTATATGTGGGAAGCAATTGTTGTTGGCACCACTAGAATACAGCGAGGCATAAATAAGTTTCATCCATTCTAAGCTGGCTAAGACGCATTTCTTGATGACGGAAAGCTTTTTTGATTGACGTTCTTTGTCAAATCGGCGATTTATTCAATTGGCATTTGAATGGGTTTATTTTGAAACGTCTTATTGGAACATGCATTTCTTATTGGCTTCTTTTCTTATTAAGAAATGCACGCAGAGTTCAGCGGAAAATATAAGAGTCACCGAACATCTTGATCTTTGTTGCAAATCAAATTTATCCTGATGTCACCGAAAAACAAAGATTACGGAAGACCTGAAAGCTAAAAAGATTTAACAAAGAGTGACACACATTCATGCAGACATACGAACACATGTATACAAATACGTATGTACATATGCATAACCAATTTTATCGTGTTCATATTTGTTCGATTTGACTTTTAACATATTTATCTAGACATACATAGCAACAAATGTACCATAAATTATGTTCATGTACTTAGGCACCCATACATACATATATACATACGACTAAGGAGTTGCTTTAAAAAGTTATCTCTACATGTATCAGCACACATACGTACATATGTATATATGCATAACAATACGCATTCATTTAAGTGTGTTAAGCGATAAATTTGTTTGCTCAATGGGTTAAAAAATGTATATGTATATATAGATACATACATACATATTCATGTTTTTTTAAGCTTGGTATTATGTATTATTAATATATACACATACAGGTATTGAAATGCGGACATAGGTATAAAGATACAAATGTATGTAATGTTTTATTTATTTATATATGTATATACATAAAAACGGCCATATTCACATAGTTCATGTGTATGTGTATGTCTATTCACATACACAGCACACACATATACATATTTACGCAGTGGAGAGAGTGAAATGTTTGTATATATTTACCTACATATTTAAGTATGAGTAATTAAATGCATAACTTTAAATATATATGTATATACTTACAGACAAAACGCCCAAATGTTTATAAAACAGCACTGAACAAATTTTAAAAATAGCAGGTTCAGCTATGGAGTTGCATACATGTACACATTTAAATACATACACACATTTATATATGTATGTTTATGCAAAAAAGGGAAATCATCACATTCGTTTAATTATATGTATTAGTTTTCTTTCACTTCCTATGTACGGAACTTGTTGCACTTGTTTTTTTCCCTTCTAGCAATAACAATTTCATATGCACAAATACAAATGTATTTTTAATTAGATATTTTGAGTGTACAAATTGAAGTAATTTTTAGGTAGGTAAATATTTTTGTGTTTGAGAATATATATGTGTATGGGTGTGTGTACATGCATCTGTAAATAGTTGTATGTGTGTAATAAATATTATAACTGTTACGTACGTATGAATGTAAACAAGTATGTTATTAGAATCCGTATTCATACAACATATCAAACCGAAAATTGAAAATGAACTGATATACTTAAGAACGAACAACTTCAACTTCACACATACACGTCTCTTGCTCTCTATATATAAAAATTAATGATTGTATATGAATAGTAAGTGAGTGTATGCATACGAAGTATGCAAGTGTATATGTGTATGTGTATTTGTGTTGACAAGATCAGGTTTGAGTTGAAGCGTGAGCAACAGGCTTGCATGCATGTAAGCACGATTTGATACCGACAAAATTGTCCAAATCACTTTAGTATACGAAGTTGCGATGGCGCATCGAGTTATCGGTTTTTGTCAATAGAAATTTTTAATAAAATAAACATTTATATTTATTAAGTTAAATATATATCTCATCAAATTAATTTTGTTGTTCAATAGGAAACATAATAAGTTCATTACAATTTGTTTTTAATATATAAATTAATTCTTTATGACTTCACTGAGAAGTTATCGGAAGTCTAACACATGTATTATATGGTTACCTGAGTGATGCAAGAATATATAAATTTAAAAAAAAAAAACTCTTTTATAATTTATATATGATATTT